AGACTATAGAATCACATATCATAATTTGATCGAATTATGAGTCGTATCGAGATCGAGTTACTCGACACAGAACAGAATCCTACCCCTGATGAAAATGACGTTTTCTATCTCCTCTAATATATATGATTGGTGGAATTTTCCGGGTTTTTCTCACCTCTAAGTCAAATGGCGACATCAGTCATCTTTAAGTCGCCCCGGCAAATAAAAATAATAGTCATCCCTTCCACTACACAAGTCGCTCAGTCGGCATCGGGGGTTGAAATTTACTCGTAAGGCGGTGAATTAGAAAGAGTATTATTATTATTATTATTTTTATTATTATATTAATATTATTATTATTATTATTATTATTATTATTATTATTATTATTATTATTATTATTATTATTATTATTATTATTATTATTATTATTATTATTATTATTATTATTATTATTATTATTATTATTATTATTATTTTTTTTTTTTTTTTAATTTGGTGTTATCGGCGTCGACTACTACGGCCATTAGCCTCGTGTTCTGTGTAGGCTTTGTTACTGTTTCCCAGCGCCACTTTAGGAACAGCACTGTTAATTAGAACCCAACAGTGAATGGTCGAGTGGGGAATCCTACCAAGGCATCAGAATTAATTTTAAATAATTAAATTAAATGAAAAAATCCCGGCCAACGGTGGGATTCGAACCTGAGACCTTCCGATCTCAAAGTCATGACTCTAACCACTGAGCCAACCCACCCCCCTTTTATTATTATTATTATTATTTTTATTATTATATTATTATTATTATTATTATTATTATTATTATTATTATTATTATTATTATTATTATTATTATTATTATTATTATTATTATTATTATTATTATTATTATTATTATTATTATTATTATTATTATTATTATTATTATTATTATTATTATTATTATTATTATTATTATTATTATTATTATTATTATTATTATTATTATTATTATTATTATTATTATTATTATTATTATTATTATTATTATTATTATTATTATTATTATTATTATTATTATTATTATTATTATTATTATTTTGATTTTTCTCAGCTATTTGCCGGTTGCAATAGGCATAGTTAAAGAAGAAATTCATCTTATTCCAACACGCCCAAAAATTTCCTCACTATATGGCAGGTCTGTAGGATGGCTGCTTTTTGTAGATGTGGTATAATGGGAGGTATATTTAGTTTTTCTAGTTGTTTTGAAAGGTTAACGGAGACAATACCTGTAACGGAAACTACTATTGGGATTATTTGTACCCTCTTCATGCCCCAAACATGTTTTATTTCTATGGCAAGATTTTCATATTTTGTAGTTTTTTCTAATTCTGTTTTCAGAACGTTGTGGCTCAGTGGGCAAGCAATGTCTATAATAAATGCTTCTTTATTTTCTTTCCCGATAATGACGATATCAGGTCGGTTGTAGTCCACTGTTCGATCAGTAAGTATCGGTCGATCCCAATATAAAATGTTTTCCCTTGATTCTAAAATCGGCTCTGGATTATAGCGATAGTAAGGTGGAGGATTTTTAGTTAGGTTTAGTTTTTGCGCTAACTGGGAATGTATTATTTTGGCTACCTGATTATGTCTTCCTAGGTAGGCACTACTCGATAATGCAGAACATCCAGCCGTTATTTGTTCTATTGTTTCGTTAGGTACACGACATTTTCTGCATACATCTTCCACATTTGCTTTCAAGATATGCTTTTCATAGTTTCGGGTACGGATTACCTGATCTTGAATTGCTATTAAAAATCCCTCGGTATCCGGGTATAGTTGTCCTTTTATTAGCCAAGTTAGCGAAAGTTCTTTACTTATGTTTTGTTGTGTCAGTGCAGCTGGGTATTTTCCGTGTAAAACTTTTTCTCTCCATGATGTTCTTATCGATTGGTTACTAATTGGTGCTCTATGTTCTTCTTGTTCCGATAGATTTAGAGGTGTATTTTTATTATCATGTGTCACAATAGATCTTAATAATGGGCACTCTGCTTTGCCAAAATATTCCTTCATTTTCTGCTCTTGTTCTTTGCATAACTTTTCTATACAAATAAACCCACGTCCTCCTTCGCTTCTGGGTAGATGTGTTCGCTCAACGGCAGATCTGGGATGATGATATCTAAATTTAGTTAGAAGTCTGCGTGTTAGACGGTCTAGCTCTTTCAAATCAGTGGTGGTATATTTCAAAATCCCAAAAGAGTAAGTCAGTACAGATATTGCCCAGGTATTGACAGCTATAGTAAGATTTTTAGAGTTTAGTTTAGTGTTAAGTAGCTTGGTAAGTCTCTTTTTATATTTTTCTTTATATTCTTTTTTTCTATTGCTATGATCTATTGAGCCATGTTGCTCTATTCCTAGGTATTTGTACGTTTCTTCTGGAGGTAGAGGTTGAATTTCTCTTGCTGCGTTTTCATACTGTATGTGACCCTTGATAAATGTCAATGTAGCGCCTTTCTCTAATCCAAATGTCATTTTAATATCATCACTAAACTTTTTAGCTGTTTGGATTAATATATTTAGGTGCTGTTTATTTTCCGCATACAGTTTTATATCGTCAACGAACATTAAGTGGCTTAGCTTGGTGTTACTCTGAATAGATGGGCGGTAGCCACAGTTAGTATTACGTAGTAGGGACGATAGTGGATTTAGAGCCAAGATAAACCATAATGGACTAAGCGAATCACCTTGAAATATCCCTCTATTTATTTGGACTTGCCCTACTTTTTCTCCGTTAACATTTAAATTGGTTCTCCACTGTTTCATTAAGAAACTTAGTAATAATCTAATGTTAGGATCAATTTTGTATATTTCTAAGGTTTTTTCGAGCCAATCATGAGGCACAGAATCAAAGGCTTTGGCATAGTCAATATAGCACACACTTAGATTACGTTTTTTAACCCTTGCTTGATTAGATATAATGGAGTCAAGTATAATCTGTTCTTTGCAGCCTAAGCTACCCACTATGCATCCTTTCTGTTCTGGGGCTATTATAGAATGGTAGTTGCAATGCTCGTAGATTTTGCAATATAATACCGATGTTAGCAGCTTATACATTACTGATAGACATGTTATCGGTCGGTAGTTTTTTGGATCTTCTTTGTCTCCCTTCTTGTGTATAAGATAGGTGTTACCTTATTATTATTATTATTATTATTATTATTATTATTATTATTATTATTATTAATATTATTATTATTATTATTATTATTATTATTATTATTATTATTATTATTATTATTATTATTATTATTATTATTATTATTATTATTATTATTATTATTATTATTATTATTATTATTATTATTATTATTATTATTATTATTATTATTATTATTATTATTATTATTATTATTATTATTATTATTATTATTATTATTATTATTAATATATCTGTGAAGTAAACTTTTCCTGGTATGACATCATAAATAGTGGCCTGAAATATTTTTTATGCTTTATTAATTTATTTTAGGCAATTTTGTTTGAAGATCATAAAATCATTGAAATTAAAGATGGTTTTATAGTTGAAGATATGTTATAAGTCCGGTAAGTAAAATAATTATTGTATGAGGCTGTCAATTTTTTATTAAAAGGAAAAATCTTTGTCATATTCTGAACTATCATACGTTATTCTCGGTTTCTCCCTCAGAGTAAGTAAGTAGTAAAGAGAGGACAGTAAACAATGTTTGTGTCGCCATGATAATATGGTCGAGAATTCTAATTAGAGAGAAATAGATTAATATCTCTATCTCTTTGTTAGTATTTGTCAGTTTTACAAAGCTTTTCTCATACAATTATTCCAGTGTTTAATTTAAATTTGTTCGTGTTGTGGTGTTAAAAGTAATTGTTATTAATATTATATTCATAACAAAAAAGTCATATTTTGTTTTCACTTCATTAAAAATGGACCTACCTACCTTTCAAAACATTTTATTTTATATTCTATTTGGTCAACATTTTCGCATTTAAAATGACCCAGTGAAATTGTTTTACGGTACGCTACTGCTGAGAATTCTAAAACGAGTGAGAAAGCCTTCATTAGAAAGAGAGATACTGATTATATGATAGCGAGATTAATATTGTATAACTTTATGCAGTGGTGGCCTATCTGCTATTATATTATCTAAGGTTTGTCCCCTTTGTCCCTCTAGCCAAAAAAATTTAAATGTGGCATCTTAGATAAAAGAAACAACAGATGATGCATTTCAGTCATAAAGTATGTTTTGTTTGGTCCCAATCATCGGAAAAGAGAAAGAAGATATTTTATGCGGATCGAAAAAGACAGACTGTAATCGAAAATCTCGTCTGGCAACGCTGCTGTTGTACGCAACTAAATATCTGTTGATACCAGTGGCGTATCTTATTAAAGATAAAATCATAACTAATGATAAAAAAATAATGAAATACTAACCGATATGGTGTGCAATAAACTTTATAATGGTTTAAACTTTAAAACACTACTAAATTTATAAAAGTTATTAAATTAAT